GGGTGTGCCAGCGTAGAACGTTGCGGAACGAACTTTCCGTAGTAGTTCACCATCCCAAGGAACGACTGCAGTTGCTGCTTCTTTTTCGGAGCAGGAGCATTCAGTAGTGCAGACACTTTCTCAGGGGATGCGCAAACACCTTCGGCGTTGATGACGTGGCCTAGATGACGTAGTTCGTGCTGAAAAAACGAGCACTTGTCACGCCGCACTCGCACACCACGTTCTTGTAATCTCGGCAAGACGGCTTCGAGATTGCTGAGGTGTTCTTGCTTCGACTTTCCGGTGATCAGGATGTCATCGAGATAGCAGCCGACACCCTTCAGGCCCTTCAGCATATTATCCATTATCCTCTGGAAGATGCCTGGTGCTGATGAGATGCCAAAAGCAAGACGGTTCATGGTGTACAGCCCTTTGTGCGTGTTCAGCGTTAGCAACTTTTTTTAGTTGTCCGCCATAACCACCTGTTGGTAAGCCCTGCTGAGGTCGATCTTTGAGAATTCTTGTCCGCCAGCTAAGGCCGCCAACAGCTCATCAATACTTGGTATGGGGTACCTGTCCACCTCCAGGCAGGGATTGAGCGTAGCCTTGAAATCTCCGCAGAGGCGTATACTGCCATCCTTTTTTACTACAGGCACAAGGGGTGTCGCATACTCGCTGCTGGCCACGGGCGTGATGACTCCCAACTTTTCCATTTTCGCCAATTCTGTCTCGACTGCTGCTTGCAGTGCGAATGAAATGCTCCTAGCCTTCAGAAACTTCGGCTGTGAACCTTCACGAAGAAAAAGTTCGGCTTGTTCTCCAGAAATGGTGCCAAGCTCATCTTTGAACAGGTCGCTGTGGTTCTCCAACAAGGCGTCCAACTTTTGTTTAAGACTCTCCGACGTGTCGAGCCTGTTGACAGGGACCAAGTTCTTCCAGTCTAGCCGAATTTCTCGCAGCCATTCTCTGCCAAGCAATGCCGGTCCCTTGGTTTCCACGACGTACAGTGGAAGCTCCTTACTTTGGTCGTTGTGCTGCGCAAAGACCAAGGCCAGACCCTTCGGCTTCACAAAGTCTCCGGTATACGTGCGAAGTGTCAGCGTTGTAGGTTGTAGCTGCTTTCTTGGGAACAGCTTCCGAAATTCAGTCAAGGAGACAACGGACACAGCTGCGCCTGTGTCAAGTTCCATTGTAAGCTTCACACCGTCAACGTTCATGGGTACGGTGATCGGTTCCAAGCCCGCAGCCTTGACCGCTTGCAGAGATACCGCGTCGTGAACGGACGTCAGCGCTTTCACCTGCCTTTGTCGTTTCGATTTTGTCGGCTTCTTGTTACCCGAACGGCAGGCGCGCTGAATGTGCCCTTTCCGGTTGCACTTGAAACATGTGTCACCGACGTGGGGGCACGCATCACTGCGATGGTTGGTCCAGCCACAACGGAAACAACTTGACTGCTCTGGTACTTGCCTGTCGATCCGCACTTTGTGGTCGACCCGAACCTGGTGGACATCAGGGACCGATGCACCGCTGATGTGCGTTAACGCTGCACTTTTAGTTGCTATTTCCATCGCAAGAGCCCTCTCTACCGCTTTCTGGAAAGTCAGCTTTTTGTCTTCTGTGAAGAGGACGCGCTGTACATTTTCTCGGCGAAGGCCGCACACAAAACGGTCGCGTAGCGCCTCATCAAGAAAGCCTCCAAAATCGCAGCTGTGTGCTAGATCTCGAAGTACCGCTACAAATTCGGCGATGGACTCACTTTCTTTTTGCGAACGCTTGTAGAACTTCGCCCTTTCCGCTATGACGGATGGCTGCGGCGCAAGATGATCGCCCAGAAGCTTGAGTAACGCGGTAAACGACTTTTCGGACGGTGACTGCGGGGCCGTAAGCGACTTCAACAAAGCGTACGTCTTCGGACCGATGAGACTCAAGAAGGCATGGACCTTCTTACCTTCGGGAACCTCGTTTACCAGGAGGTATGACGCCAGTCTTTCTTCATAGGAGCGCCAGTCACTCGTCGTATCGTCGAAAGACTCGATGTGCCCGATGCGACTCATGGTCTTCGCTGAGGTGGTTGCCGCTTGATGGCCGCTCCAGGATTCCGAGGCTGGACAATCCTTGGCTCCAGTCAAGCCCCAGCAGTCAGACAATTATCCAACCCGTGGACCCGAACATCCTCGTCGCCAATAAATGTGGTGTATTTACAAGAAAAACGGGTTACAGAAATCAGCCCGTTTAGAACACGGCTGCATGCTGTCGCTCGGGTAGGCAGTCAGTCAGTTCACGCGATAGTCTCGCGCGTACGCTGCACGTCAAGGCACGAGCACTGCCACACATATAACAGTTTATATTTTCTTTTAACGCTAAATTCGAAAAAGAAACTGAAGATTTTGAATTCCTTTCTAGTCCAAGTTTTCAAAGTTCGAAGTCCGGTTTTCAAGTTCCTCCACAGTTTGTTTCAAATAACGTTTTCATGACTCACTGGTTTTCATAAAATCAAGTTTAGAAAAGTTAGGGTGTGTTACCTAGACTCTGCGAAGTTGTTCAGGCAATTAAATGAGACGACGAGTGTCCCGGATGTGATGAAATATTTTCCAGTGCAGAGTGACGCGTGACCATAGATCAGTAATTGTGACCGCCAGCCCGGGGGGGGGGGGGGGGGGGGGGGGGTGTCTTTATTTGCATCACGCAGTAGCGATCACACGAACACACTGTTTTACGAGATTCATCCAGTTCGAAACGGCCAGGGGCAGGCAGGTGGTTGAGGCTCAGAAAAACCTTGAAGCGACCTGGCAAACTACCTCGCCACCCCCTTACACGCTGGTAGTAATCCGATCGAACGCCGCCCGAGTGACGCTGGCATATAGTAAGTTAAGTTTGTAATCGTCCTGGAGTTTTATTTTCCGGGACGGAGGAAACGCCGAGCAAAAAGCACAGAAGTCTACACAACTCGAGGTCGAGGAACGTTCTACCATACCAGTGGCGTCGGAAGAGGAAAAGCATGGGGGAGAGGGCGGGGCTCCAGCCCCCCCCCCCCCCCCCCCCCTTTCCAGATAGTTCGGACTGTTAAAGAAAAGAATACGGGGAAAGAGGGCGTGTTTAGGGGTTAAAAGCGCTAAAAACGACGGACGAGTAGGAGAGACACACACCACAGAGCGCTACTTGCAACTGGTTTATTATTGAAAAAACCACACGTACCGCGAAACCAACAAGACACACATCCGATTCAGTTCCAACCGTCGCTAATCACATTTCTTACTCTGACACCAAACGATCATGCCTGGTGTCAGAGTAAGAAATGTGATTAGCGACGGTTGGAACTGAATCGGATGTGTGTCCTGTTGGTTTCGCGGTACGTGTGGTTTTTCCAATAATAAACCAGTTGCAAGTAGCGCTCTGTGGTGTGTGTCTCTCCTACTCGTCCGTCGTGTTTAGCGCTTTTAACCCCTAAACATGTTCAACCAACTAGCCCAAATCCAAACCCTTCTGCAAAGAGGGCGTGGTCAAGCTTATTTTAATCTGAAATTATTTATGCATATGTATAGCTACTGTCGCTCTGCACTGCATAAAAGATTTCGAAGATGGTCATTGTTAGAAACTCGTTGTCAGAAGGCACTACTCGTCACGTGTTTAGTGGTTCGAAGTTCAAAGCTATATCTTTTCGACCTAAATACCTGTGCCAAAATTAAAAAAAAAAAAAAAAAAATGCGGGATTAAAAGCTGGAGAAAAAAAAACTATCAAGACTTCGCCGGAAGTCTTGTATTCTTGTCTATTCAGAGGTTCAGAACTTCGAAACAAGTTTCTTTTACCAAAATGTGTACAGGCTAAAAGAAACACGTCCCAGGAACCTGAAGCGAAAAACAAAATGTTTTCTTTTAATGACTTGCTGAACTTGAACATTATTAGAAATCTTCTCCCATGGGTTAATTTATTCCTTAACGTGAAAAAACAATAAATACATTATTTTGTATTCTGCAGTAGGCAATGATATGTACTGTCTGTGGTGTTAATTTAAATTCGATACCTCAAACAACTTAGATGAAAATAAATATCATGTTTATGGCATAATTGCATGTAGATACATGTTTAGACATTTCTTCGAAACTCACGTTGAATAACAATAATCATATCTTAAAACGGCACTTACCTAGGCTATACATAGATCATTCTTAAAAAAAGTATAACATCTCTACCATAAATAGTTTCGGCTACAGCGCGCTTCAAATCTGGCACGAACGATAATCGTCAAAAACCCGTCCTCCTTCCTCGCCCCTTCGGGAATTTATTTCTTTAAAACTAAGCATGCCAGAACATTGAAACAAACGGCTTTGTCTTTCGTAAGGAACGCAGCACCGCGCGTAAAAGTTCGAGAAAAAAAATTACGAATGTACCTCACTACTTGAATTCAAACGAAACCGTCCGCCAATCTTTCGAAGTTCGTCGAACTTCTGACTTTTTAGGATTCGAAAGTTCAAAACTTTTCGAATTCTCGTGATAAATAAGTTCAAAAGTTCGAAATTCATCGATTTTTTGGTCAGTCAAGTTCCGAAGTTCGACAAGCATCGAACTTGGCAGCGCAATAATTTCGAAAGTTCGAAAAAGATCGAATTTTTAAGCGTAATAAGTTCGACGGTTCGAAAAGCGTCGAACTTCTTAGCTTAACAAGCTAAGAAGCATCGTAAAATTCGACTTCCGTCGAATTTTACGATGTAGACAATTCGAAAAATCTAAATCTTTCGAACCTTTCGAACCGCTTGATTCCATCATCGAAACTTCGATTCGAAAAGAGTTCGCGGCATCACAAGCTGAAACGAAGCGACCGGAAGGCCCTTGGGAGGCAAGAGACGGTTCGTGTTTGTAAACGCAAAACAAGCGAATATATCTCAAATATTACGAACACCAGACTGAACAAGGTTAAAGGGGAAAAGAAAACACTCTATAGTCTCTAATTATTTCAAGTCCAGCCCACATCCCCAGTCGTTAAGTCGCGTATCTCATGTAGCCGGTGTCCAAAGTAATATACCTGATGGAGGCTTCGTAGGTACTGGTGGCGTGTGGCTTTGACACATCTCTGAAAAAAAGGAGACATTCGAAATTAAACTTTTTCCGTCAGCAGAAACGCCAAAGAAGACAAAGTATACGACATTGTTTCGTACGCAATTCACTGTCATCCGCAAAACGACTTAACTGCAAGCTAAAAAAATATTGCCGCTTTTTAATATATTTTTATGATATATTATATTTATTGTAGATACGCTATAAACACTCGTCGGTAAAGATAAACACTCGTCGGTAAAGATAAAACATATTATGGTTAATGATCTATCTGGGAAGAAAGTACAATATCGAAAAAGAGCACAACTAATGTATTTCTCTGTTCTAAATCAAGAGTTTCATAAGCAATAAATAGATCGACGTTCGACCGTCAAACATCAAGGGAATGTCGGAATGTTTTCAGTGTTGCCAGTAGAGCATCCAGCCTCTCAGATCAAAATTGAAACTTCAATAACTTAAAAAAAATTAATTTTGTGATTGTTTTTTTTTTTTTGTTATCTTTGTGCTTACTAGTTCCGATTTTTTTTTTTTTTGAAGGGGGGGGGGGGGAGGGAGGGTGCGTGCTTACTGGTTCCGATGTGTCTATTGATGTGTCGAGTCAATTTTAAGGCAAGGCGGTGACGATCGAAATTTCGCCGCAGTTTACCGCAGTTGAACAACTCACGTGGTTGTGGCGTGACATAGAGCCATTGAATATTCCCAGAGTACCAAAACTCCCAAGCTTTATTTCAGAACCGAGTCGCGGCACAGCAGTCGCGCTCCAACATAATCCCCAATATGGCACTGCCCTGTGCGGTCGAAGCAAAGCACGCACGGTGTAGCGTTCGTTCTCATGCGAACTTTTCAATAAGCCTTGCTGGTCTGTGACGAAGATGGTTCTTTTATTATTGAAGTTCCTTCGTTCTGAGTGGTGCATGACTTGCTCCTTGCTGTTTCGCCTTTTGTTCTCGCCTCGAAACAGATCGAAGTCGAGTGCTAGGCTTAGCGCCTGAGGCCTATAGATTTTGAAACGCAGCACCAACGCAACCGGAGCGAGCAAAGGGGCCGGCAATCTTCTTTGGCGAACGCGATTAGCAGCTGCTTGATATAAAAAATCTAAAGAAAATCAACGCACTTTCCCTTCCGTCTTAACTCATCGATGCCCAGAGCTCCCACCCGCGCGTACGCGCCCGACTCGTGGTAACGCAAACACGTTTTATATACGTTTTTTTTTTGTTGTTTTGGGCTCATCCATAAACTGCATGACTGCTAACTTCCACCGCAGGCTAAACCAGCCAATCAGAACTGGAATCTGCGGGATTTACTTTCGGTAAGTGGACTGAATGGAATTCGATATTCTGTGAACATTCAGTGGCTCTATACAACGCGGCATATGGTTCGCCCGAAACCCCAAACGAATGTTCTTCGATGGCATGAGTTATCAGTGGTAAAAAGGGTGGACTACTTGAGATACCGGAGCATGGTACTAGTCGGCATTCTCATTGGCTAACCTAATTTAAAGCAGACCGACGACCAGTCGTGTTGCGGTGCTTTGTTGGGTAGTAAACATGCTAAGCGTCCCGGGAGGCTTCGGTTGACAAATCACGAAAAGATATGTGCCAGAAGCATCATAATTTCCGGAGAAATCGAGAGTCCGCTCGCGGCGCATAATCCCTATATCCAGTGCATAATCCGCCGATAAAACATTCTGATACACAGCATACGCTCTATAAAAAAGTCCGTTCTTGAAAGGCTCTTTGACGCCCCCAGAAGTCTTTCAGCTCGTGAAGAACGGTTTCGCCTCAAGCACTGTCGCCCCCTCGCGAAGTAGAAAGGCACCTGTGCGATGAAGCGCTCTTTCGCATCATAAAAGAAGCTATACAGCAAGTTTGTCTGCTTCTTGAGCACAGGTTGAAGTAATGTCAGAACGCCGAGCTCTGATTGGTTCTGATTGGAAGGATAATGGGTAGACCTCAATGCTAGCTGCGTTGAGATCTATCCGCTGTCCTTCCCATCGGAGCCAATCAGAGCTCGGCTTTCTGACGTCACCGCAACCCCTGCAAAAGAAGCAGACGAACTTGCGCTCCGCATGGGACTTTACGAAAAACCCTTTAGGGAGTACTTGAAATAACTTCTTAGGGTGCAAATTACGGACAAGCGAAAGAACCCCTCAGAGTTTTTTTACTACCAGATTTTTTTAGAGTGTACCTTGCAAAACGCGTGCTTTATAATTCTAGCTTTTATTATACAGAAGTCATCATTAACACAATCTGTCATTGTCGAAATTCTTCACACCTGAACGATATTGAAAAAAGAAGTATTAGTATTATAGTTTCAACAGCATAAACTTTTAAAATTTTAAAAGATTGTAGTTGGCGGAGCGAACAAGTACGCTACACCTCATATATGGGAGAAATATCTATCGAAATAAACCACTCACCTGCGTTTGGAATCCTCAGGAGAAAAATGAACAGCAGCAGCAGCTGCTGCGGTCGAGAGCTCCGTAGCGACGAGAGATATGTGCCTGGGCCCAAAAAAAAAATACGTTCACACACTTGTGTCCGAGAGCAGCTTAGTGCGCTCTGCCAACGCCAGCTAGACGATAAGGCCTGTGCCGCCCTCGGCCTTCCAGGCGTCATCATTAGTGAATCCAAGCAGCGTCGTCGACAGCGCGACTCGCGTGCAGCGTCTCACAGCGAGTGCGACGCTAACACGAGGCGACGCCAAGAAGGAAGCTCATCGAGAGTGCATTGGCCGCTTGGGGAGGGTCGGAGATCCACAAACGATGACGTCATGAGTAGGCCTTGTTTTCAACTGACTGTTTTCAACCCGTTTGTCGTCCCCCCCCCCCCCCCCCCCCCCCCCCCCGCCTTGGTGTTTTCTCAACACAAGGCCTGTTGGCATGTCACGTCATCAGGTTTACGTCACCTTCTTCAATAAAGCGTGGTGCACAGTGTAGCCAAATACCATGCAAGCCAATACGCCTCGCAAATGGGCTCATTTTCGTCTTCTGCGCATAAGAAAGAAAGTAGCGGTGACGTCAGAACGCCGAACTCTGATTGGCTTATCGCGACCCCCTATCTCAGCGTCGTCTGCTCCTTTGCAACGTCGTCTGCTTGCAACGTCGTCTGCGTCTGTCTTACCTTTCCTGCGACTTTCGGAGCGAACTCGACCTCGCCTTTAAGAGAGGGCAGACGAAATAACTCGAGCGGAACGTTGTTTTTGTCTAACAACTAGCAGACGCGCATCAAGGAGGGAAGTCAAAGGACTCCCTGGCGAGGTGTCCCGGGCGCCGAGGTTTTTTTGCTTAGAACCGAGGCAAGTTCCCTCCCAAATACTTTTTCTCTCCATTCGTGTGCGGCGAGACCCCTCACTCTTTAACGGCGTCGGCGGGTTGGCGCAGTTAACGTCGTCTGCTTTACGTCTGCTAGTCAAAGCGGTCAAAGCGATGGCTGCTTTACCTTTGCTGCGTCTGTCGGAGATTCACCGCTTTTTCATCTGCGAGAGTCACCGTTGCTTCGGGAAACAAGGAGATAACAAGAGGAAGAAATTGACATTTTAATCTAAAACTGAGGTCAGCAATCAAAATATTATACGGGAGCGGTTCACAAGGGTCGCGCGGGCATGTTCCACTCAGCACGCCAGCCGGTCGTGGGCAGACGGTCGCCGAGTCGCGGAGAGCCTGCTAGGCCTAACTGCCCAGCTCGTTTGGTCGCGTTCGGTGGGATCGTGTCCGTGGGAGCTTTTCCCGGGTGTTTGTGGATCCAGCGTTCTTGTTCGTCGTGGTCTGTTTCAAGTACTTTTTACTTTTTTCTTGCTGCTTGAAGTCGGGACGCGTCAGAACCGCACGTAAAAAAATAAACGTCCGTGAGTCGTCGCGACCGCGACGTTGTCGGCCATGCTGATTTGATCGTAAAAAGTGCGTAAGACAGCTTCGGAGCTGTCGTAGGATTTTGTCGTAGCCTGCGCAAAACATACGAAAATTTCGTTTCGTGAATACGAATTTGTTCTTAAGTTTTGTCTTACGCACATTTTTGGCGTAAGATCGTTTCGTGAATCTGGCCTCTGCACTTCCGAAAGTTGCAGGAAAGGTAAGACAGACGCAGACGACGTTGCGAGCAGACGACGTTGCAAAGGAGCAGACGACGCTCAGATAGGGGGGGCGTGATCAGCCAATCAGGGCTCGGCGTTCTGACGTCACCGCTACCCCCTGCGCGAGAAGCAGACGAACTTGCCCTCCGCATACTGGCAACTTCCGCGGACCGCGGGCGAAAAGTGATCGCAGCGACCCTGGCGAGCTCGGAGTATTCGCAAGCAGACGAATGCTCCACAACGCATTGGATTTGCCTATCTCCGTGCTAGGTGACACATGAAAAATATTTTCATGTGTATTTGCTGCTTTGACTGTTAAAAAGTAGGTTCCACTTCATGAGTGGAGGATATTTTCTTCGCGTATGAGAGATGTCATAGCTTTCAGGGTGCAATTTTAGGGCTCTCCTGGAAAAAAACACTCTGTCAGAGCATATCTAAGCCCGAAAAACACGAATGTGCCTTCGCCCGGTTTCTTGAACAGGTCAATGTACAAAAAAGATTTCAGAACATAGCTTCGTTTCAAATTTACTGTTCTTGCCGATCAATTCGTTTTTTTTATTGCAATTCCCATTTCTCATGACTGTAATGCTTATAACCGTTTTCTCGAATAGGCGAGCTGGCTAATCCCGTTAAGACCGTCTCCGGGTGAAGAAGCAGAAGGCATTTCGAACCACTTGCGTTACTGCAATGTCAATATGCTCTGGAATATGTCGATTGTGCACATGCAAATATGACGCTAATACTGAACCTAAAGAAACAAAAAGCGAATTTACAAAAAAAAAGAAAAGAAGAAAGGGAGCAGACTTCTCACGACAAGACAAAAAAGAAGAGAGCGTCGTAGCGCAAATGAAGGTGATTTCGGTCACGTTATATACGGTGCACAACGTGCACAAATTGCGATTGTTAGTGGCGGGATGACTAACGTCTTCAGCAACTTCTACGATAAAGACCGGCGCCCGTGGTACGGTCCTGAAACTCCTTCCATTTTTCAGTCTACATTAGTTTTATGATTCAGGCGACGCTACGCCGTCGCGATCTTTCTTCCTCCTGCTTTTATGGTGTTGTTTTTGCTTTTTTCTTTCTTTTGTTTACTTAACATTGGAACCATCGCGTCTTTTGCTTTGACTTTTTTGGCTTAGTTTATACTTTCTTTTCTTCGCTACTCCAGCCGGTTCATGTGCTATTCTATGCCCGGAAATGTTGAGGGCCGTCTGCAACTTTGTTGTTAATGTTGTTAATCTTTTTTTTTTTTTTTTTTTTGCGATTGTTTGCGATAATTTTTTATTTTCGCCTTCGATTGAGTTTCTAATCCGAAATCTTCTTCCGTGCTTTTTGATACTTAATAAATATATTAAAAAGTGTAAGCCCGGATTTTACTTGAGTATGCGATCAAGTATACTATGGTTCATCGTTTGTTGATTATACGGCCGCCTTCGGGCATACACCAGCGCATACTTGGAGGCGGCAGGCATGCCACGTGCTGCCTATTACTACAAAAACAAGTTTTTGCGATGTGGTAGAAAGTCCTTCTTCCGCTTCCCGAAAACCGAACAAACGTGTGTAATTACATTACTGCAGCATTCAAATTAAACTAGAAGAGCTATTCACATCTGGCTTCAAAATTTCCACTGACGTCTCAACAGATGATTATGACCACTCCACGGAGAACGCGAAGAACTTTACGGACGACAGAACAGTTGCACAACTAAACACCCAGTCCTATGTAGCCGGGTGGGCAGCCAGTCAGATCTTTCATCATGCTTGCCAAGTCCAACAGCAATTAGAAACACAAAACAGCTCGAAAGACATTTTGTTAAAGAACCAGAAATATTCGCATGCGAAAATAACACCACCTTCCGACGGAGCTCGTCACCTAGCCGGTAACATTAGCCGTGCCTTCGACACAGATTTTACGGACATATTACACCAGACAAGAGTTCAGCTGAAGGCCGACTTGAGGTCACTGATCGAAACTCGGAAAAAGGCATGGTGTGCTAAGATTGTATGGACAAGTACGTCAACAAGTACTCGAATGTAGCTTTGAACTGCTTTGTCAAGCGAGCAAACGAAAAACCTGACAGAGTCACTGGGAAACGAAATCCGAAAGCAAAAACAGCCACACACTGCTTGCACGTACCATATTGCAACGTGCGACTCTTATTTACCGGGCAGTGTGAGTTGGACTATGTTATTCATTTCCCCTGTTTTGTTTTTAGTTCCCACCAACGCCGCGAAAGCAAATAAACAAACGTGTAACAAGCAGCTGAAAAAAAGGTGAAGCTCTTTACTTCTTCGATTAGTTCTGTCGTGTTGCTTCCCCTTCGTTTGTTGTGGACTCAACACCTGCGGCGACCACAACCTGAGCAATGATCGCCGTCGTTGAAGGAGTTTCTTTGCTGGGTGATTTCTATATTTTCATCGTCTGCTAACGTCTTTGTTTTTTGTTTCGCCGTTGTTCGCGTCTGTTTTCGATTTCTTTTGATCATCGTCTGGAATGGAGACCCCATCTTTCCTGCAAAGTTTGGGAAGTGTTTGCACGTTACATTTTCTCGTAACGCTTCGTTTTTGTTCTGCTGCAGCGGCTGGTACGCTTGCTCTGGTAATCTTAACATGTTGTTTGCGCACCTTTTAATGATCACCTATTCAGGTAAGAAATTGTGAAAACTCAGTTTGTAACGGATCAACAGTAACCTCTTACGACGTAGTTGGAGTATCTAGACGTCTTTTTTTCCCCTTCCCAGACGAGCTTCAAACGCGTGTGATCCCCTGAGTGGCAATTGAAACCGCTAAATAAACTGCTCTATCTTTGATTCTGCGCGCATTGTTATTTGATTGTCGTTGCAGTTGCGATCAGTGGATTCCGCTTTGCAAGTGGGCTGACCGCAATGAATTGTTTCAGCTGTCGGAGTGCCGAAACGGGGCTCGCAAAGCTCGAGGACGTCGCGGAGCCTCTACTTTTCCATTGCGTCCTCTGCTTCAGTAAACTCCGAGTCCGCTAGAGACGCCACTGTCGCGCTCGCAGCCGCTCTCATGGGTTTTCGGAGGATTTTCTAGTATTGGCGAAGCTATATCGTATTAAGTGTAACGTAACAAAGACTAACAATAAACAAGGTGACGTTCATTGTTAGTGCCCGATCTCTCCCAAAAGCAGTCGTCAGAGAGTGCAAGCTTGACCCAAATTCGGCTTTTGTGCTGACATGACCGTGAGCACCGTGCATGCTGCATTGTTCATGCAGGCCCGAGTGGTAAGAAAAGAGCCCCTCCTCCCCCTTGGGCGACCGGAGCGCATGATCTCCGGCCGAAATCTGAGGAAGCGTTCGGTTATGTCGGTCGAGTGCTGAGTCATTATTTGTTGTCCCCATCTGTGTAGTTGTAAAGTAAGCCGCTTGGTGCGCCACGCTCTGATATCCTCCCCAATACTCGTGTTCACCTCAAAAACCTTTGTAAAGAAAAATCCAGCTCTTTGTGGTGTATTACTAGTTCTAGCTTTTGTGTAAAGAATTAAGATATATGTAGGTGCATTGTAGATTAGATTCTTGATTTCTTATCAAGCCGTAAACGTTTCAAACGCCAAAAGCATCGCGTCGTCCTCAGACAACCAAATATTATAAGAACTACTTCGCGCGGCGTATGAACAATGCGCAAAACTTCCTTTTTTCTTCCAACAATCCAACAGCAGATGAATCAACAAATACAGCAAACACAACAACAAATGCAGCAACAAAAGCGACGAACACAGCAAGAAATGCATCGGTTCCAGCAAACAATCCTCCAGAAGCTCACGTCAGCACCTGCGGCAAGCCAGGCCATGCTTGAATATATCTGGTGACCTCAATCAGACAGGCTTCTTGCGCATCTTACGATGGAATTGCCGCAGCCTCCCACGACGCAAGGCCGCACTACTCGCGC